TAGCAGTACTGTGGAACATCAAATATGACTCAATGGTGAATGTGGTGCGCTTAAATGTTGACTGGGCAATAGGGCTGGAGTGTAATTTTAATGAAAAGAAATTTACTGTCTTAAATGTTTATACACCGTATGAATCATATGAGCATGAGGATGAATTTTTGAACAGGTTAGCTTTTATTCAGACATTTATTGAGGATAATAGTTCCTCTTGTGTTTATGTTATGGGTGATTTTAACCCTTGTGTTCTGTTCGATTTCTGTGTACACCCCTTATGGACCGGGTCAAATTGACCCTAATTGGATTCAATGCAATTCCTCAAAAATCACACTATGAAAAACAACAAAGATTTAGATACAAACTGTAAACTTTTAATATCAACATTTGTCAAACATTACAAAAACATTATATCTGAAAATATGATTAATGAAAATGTTTTTAAAACATTTTTTAAAACAGTTTTGTTTTGACAAAATTGGAAAATAAACAGTATACTGATTTTTTTTGCATATATATTTTTTTTTAATTTTTTTAATTTTTTTTACATTTTATGCTTTGAACATCATAACTGAACAAAAAAAAATTGCTGTATAATGAAAATTTTTCATTTTCCTAAGTTAACTTTCCCTAGTTTCCTAAGACCTATTTTCCTAGTTTCATTATTCACTCACTGGGAAGTGAGAAACCAAACATAAAAAAAACATACATCAAATAAATGTTTTTTATTTATTTTTTGGCTCTGTGAAGCTGCCTTTGAAAATCCTACACAAAAGTTTTGGTTAAAAGCTAGGTATATAGATATTTTGAATATTGAAATGAGAGCTTATTTTACTATCTGTGTCTGACAAAGATTTTCATCTGTAATTTGCAAATAATTCTGAACATTGTAATTTTAGCTTTTTCAAGTGTGTTTGGTTAGGGTTAGAGCACTTTTAGATGCAATTGCACGTTAGAACTGGAGTTGAAGTGCCCTGACATACAGAAAATAAATGTTTTTATTTTGTGTCTGTACAGTTGCTTTTGAATGGCTGTCTATGAGGGTCAAATTGACCCGCGAACATCACGAACGTAACAGTAATTTTGTTTGTATATGTCAAAACACATCAGCATGTTGAAACTTTGCATGCATGTTCATCATGATAAATGAGAAAAAGTCACAAAATATCAAGAAAAAAAACAAAGGTTAACCAGTATTTCCAACAACTTGAAAATCGAAACGGGTCAAATTGACCCGCAACATAACACAAGGGTTTTAATGCTGACATGTCAGATAGCAAATCTTTATTTGCAGAACACTTGCAGCAGTTCTGTAATGAGTCTAAATTAATTCTATCAAGTATAGCTCTGCTACCTGTTACAAGTTTTACCTATGTTAGTGAAGCGTGGAACACAACATCGTGGTTAGACCATGTTGTGACCACAGCTGATGCTCATGCTTCACTGGTAAATGTGGAGATTTGCTATGAACTTGCCACCTCTGATCACACACCAATTGCTGCTCTGTTAGATGTTGAGAATGTTCCTCTGTTGTCCAGAAATAATAATGTAGCTTCCTCAAGTAAACTTGGCTGGGCAAAGCTGAGTAAAGAGGAGGTGGCTGAATACTCATTGCGAACTGAACGTTTTTTAAATAATATTGTTATGCCCCATGAGGCCCTAATGTGCTCAGATGTTAATTGTAAGGATGTGCAACATGTTGAAAAACTCTGTGCCATGTATGATAGTATTGTGAAATGTTTAAATGCTGCCAGTGAACCCTTTTGTAAAACGAAATGTAAAGTACTTAACATCAGACCTGGGTGGAATGAGTTTGTGGCTGGGTATTATGATGAGGCAAGAGAGGCCTTTAGACTCTGGTCAGAAGCAGGTAAGCCTAGACATGGGGTACTGCTTGATATGAAAAAACAGACAAATGCTAGAGTTAAGTATGCACTTCCTTTTATTAAGAAAAATGAAAATACAATGAGAGCAGACTCGCTGGCCAGAAAGTTACAGAAAAACAGCCTCACTGACTTTTGGCAAGAGGTCAAAGTAATGAATAACAATAAGACTTCCTTACCGGCTGATATTAAAGGTATTAGTAGCCCAGAAAAAATAGCTGAGCTTTGGCGAGATCACTACTTTGAATTGTTTAATTGTGTTAAAAGTAACCCAGTTGGACTCAATCATGAACATATTGATTTCTCGGCAGATATGATAATTAGGGCAGTAGATATTTATGATGCCATCAATATGTTGGAGAACAACAAAGCCTGTGGTATGGATTGCATTACTGCAGAACATCTAAAATATGCCAGCCATAGGCTCTGCCCATTGTTGTCTATGTGTTTTAATGGTTGTCTGGTTCATGGTGTCCTGCCTAATACTTTTATGTCTGTAATGTTATTGCCTGTGCTTAAAGATAAGGCTGGCAAGCTCAACAGTATTGACAACTATTGACCAATTGCATTGGCCAATATCTTGTCTAAAGTACTGGAGAGAATACTGCTAACAAAGCTAGAAATGTATGTCCTTACTACTGACAATCAGTTTGGGTTTAAGAGAAGGCATGGAACCGATTTGTGTATCTATGCTCTTAAAGAGATTGTGTCCAGGTACACGAGTCTGAATTCATCTATGTTTTTATGTTTTATTGATGCGTCAAAGGCATTTGATAGAATCAATCATGAACGATTGTTTGTAAAACTGTTAGATAGAGGTGCCCCTAAATTTTTAGTGAGAATTTTAGTGTTTTGGTATGCCCATCAAATGTTTCAGGTTAAATGGGACAATGTTGTATCTGCTCCTTTTCATGTTAGCAATGGAGTGAGACATGGTGGTATTATGTCTCCTATTTTATTCAATGTCTATATGGATGAATTATCAAACCAGTTAAATAGGCTAAAAACTGGCTGCTTGTGGGCAATACTACGGTTAATCATCTTATGTATGCAGATGACTTGGTCCTGCTCTGTCCATATAGTGCTGGGCTGCAGCAGTTGCTGAAGGTGTGCTCTCAGTATGGCCTTGATTATGATATAAAGTATAACGCTTAAAAAAGCCACATAATGGTAGTTAGAAGTGATGAGGACAAGAAATCAACTTTTCCGACTTTTTATCTGTCAGACAGCCCTCTTTCTGTGTGTGAGGAAGCTAAATATTTAGGTCATGTTATATCCAATGACTGGACGGATGACAAAGATCTATACCGTCAACGCTGTAAAATGTATTGTCAAGCTAACATGCTTATAAGGAGGTTTTCAATGTGCTCTGATAATGTGAAGTGCTCTTTGTTTAGAACCTACATCACACCGCTATATACTGCTCAATTGTGGTCTAATTATAAGAAAAAGAGCATGCAGAGGCTCAAGGTAGCATACAATGATGGGATGAGATTGCTGCTTCGTGTCCCTAGGTGGCGTAGTCCCAGTCATTTGTTCGTGTCTAATAGAGTGCCGACTTGGGAGGCGCTCTTGAGACAACTGATGTTTGGTTTTCTGGGTCGTCTGGACAATTCAGTAAACAGTATAATTGAGGCCCTAGTCAATCCTCTTAAAAGCTGTTATAGACATACTTCGAGGTTAAGACGACATTGGTGCAATAGCCTGTATCTCCTATAGAATTTTTAATGTATTTTTGTATCTCTTTTCTTTGCTGTGTTATATGGACTTGTGTCTGCAATAAAGTTTATATATTAATGAGCATGACATACGCGCCTGATCAAAGCTTATATAGTTTATTCTGTTATTGGTAAAATCCAATACTCCTAGATGACCAATAATAGCTTTGCTATTAACTGATACGATGGTAATAATCGATATACACCTCACATTTTACCAAACAGAATGAACGATGCACTGTTAACTATATTACACTATTAATTAAAACTCACAGTGAACAGCATTAAATATAAAAACACATATGCCTTACCTTTTTGTTGCAGTGCAGTTTTTATTGCAGTGGTATAATGTTTTGCCGACAGCACTACAGTCCTCATTTTTTATTGCTGCTTCCATTCTCCTGATTGCTATTATTTAATTTCTTCTTAAAAAAACATCCAGGGAAGATTGAATAGGCCTGTTCTTTTAATGTTTACTCAGTATCTGACAGCTAGGCTAATCAAAAATACGCGCGATTAAGTGATGCAATAAACTGCGGCTGCGCACACTCACTCCACACAAGTTTTTTTTATAATAATACTTTTGCATGTGTGTCTCCTCGGACCGTTGTTCTGTCTAACATTTAATCCTGGCCTGTCCCTGCTCTCTCAGCAGCATAGCAGGCTCATAATTGTAAGGCTGTCGTCCGTGGTCTGTCATACGAGTAAGTCCGAAATGTCATTGCGATCCATTATTTTCCTGTTGTTTGAATGGTTTGAATCGACCGCTCTCCCGCCCGTTACGTCACGCCCGTCACGCCCATTTTCAGATGCGGAAGTAAAATTCTCTCACAAAAACGACTCCAGAAGCCAATGTAACGTATTTATAAGTATATTTTAAAGAAAATCTAATTACTACATTGTTTTCCTATACATTTACTCGTTGGGTCCTCTAACCTGCAATATGCCCTTTAAGTCCGCCACGCAGATCGCGCTTTTTGAAACTGAAAAACTCTTTGCATCAGTCTATTAAACCAGGAACAGAGCTGTGATAAATGTGAGGTTATTTTTTTGGAGTGTGTTGTGTATGCACAGCATGTCTTGTGTTGTAATTGTTTTATACTGAATATTTACGTATATTGTGGATGCAAAATTAATTTCCGTGAAAACTAACAATAAAGTTGTATTCATTGAATGAAATATTTATATTATTTTCTAGATTTTTAAAATATTTTTTACTAGATTTGTTTTGTATTACCCATCTACTTTTACTACTGACTTTTAAATAAAAATAAAATAAGTTTAAATACCATTCAGATAAAAAGACAGTATTAAAAAAATCACAACGTCATATTTATAATAATTTATATTTTATTAAAAAGCTCCAATCAATTATTTTAAAAATATTTTCATATCCAACAGAAATAGCGGTCAAAAATACAATATAAAATGCAAAGTTCAAGTAGAAACAGTGTAGCTTGTTTCAGACGGTTGGGCTCTGAGTCTTTGCTGTAGTAGCTGATGTTGTTCTCTTGTCCACTTTATCAGCATGGCCGTTCACCCAGGTGGTCTCTGGATCTATACAGAACTCTTTACCTGCAAATGTCTGAAACCTGAGGGGGAAAGGACAAAACAAGGTTTAGATCAGAGTGTTTCTTTAATGGAGTGTCTCATTCAGATTGACTTTGCAGTTTGAAAATGAAATAATGTCTAAGATGACACTCACACAATGGCTGGTCTGGCACAGGAGCTGCTGGTCCAGTAGTAAGACTTCACCAGTCTCACAGGAATCTTCACATTACTGAACTCCATACAGCAGTTTGCCACATTAGCTGCGAGGGGAGCTGAAATATGGAGACAAATAGGGCTATCACAAATCTATGCATTTCCATGCAAAAAAATAAGACAAAAGTTTTCAATTAGATAAATCGATATTTTCAAATCACCAAATGCAACCTATACACCTGACAAAAATAATCTGAAAACAATTAATTTGATCTTAATTGACATTCAAAGAGTCCTCACCGCTTGAAGTCATCGGCACAGAGCAGAAGAGAACCAGGACCAGCAGAAACACCAGGCTTCTCATTCTTCAAGATGTTTGTTCACAACGACAGAAAGAGTCTTGTAGAGCTGGAAGATCTCAGAGCAGATGTGTCCAGAATAACACCTGAGCTCCTTCTTATATACATAGCAGGAGAGGAATTCTTCATAAAGACATTCATGTAAATCCATTTCTGAGTAACAATATTGTCAGATGCGAGTTGATTTTAGCTCTTCCTTTCCTTCATCCTTTTTCTGCTTTGTCGCTCATGCAAGAAAGTGAAAGGTACTTTTCTTTCAGATTCACTGAAAACGTGTTTCAGGAAAACAACACGGCTTCCTCTTTTCAAGTCTTCTGTGCTCAGTATGGTCCTTTATGCTCTCCTTTTTTTGACAGCACTAATCTATTTGTTAATCAATGTCCTGTTAGCAGCTTGTCAAACAAAAAAATTAGCTCAATTCTTAATAGAGCTCAGACTTCTTTACCTGCTTGTGTAAGCTTTTGGAGTAACAAATGTAATGATATAATATTTGAAGATGTTGAAGTCTCTATTAAAATTGTTCAAAATTGCTACCAAGTTATATAAACGTGCTAACTTTAATAATAGTATTTCCCTCATGTTCTCCATTTGTCATTACTTTGAAGAGACAATTCATCATTTGTTTTGGGACTGTGTGTATTGCAAAGTATTTTGGGTTGACTTTTCAAATTTTGTTAAAAGGTTTTTTTGTGTGACTCTGAAATTAGACCCTTCTCATTGTAAATTTGTAATTAATTTACTACTTTTTCTTGTCAAATGTTATATTCACAAATGTACATTTTCAAAGAAAAATCCTTCTCTTTTATTTTTACGAAAGGGTTTAATATGCATCTAAACTCCTTGAGTTACTTTAAAAACTCAACTGCATGTAAGTGTTACGAAAGCAGACTCAAGAGATGGAACTGAATGCAAACAGGACGTTTATTGTCTTAGTCTCTAGTCTTCTAACAGGGATGGTGGTGAGAGATGAGACTGGGAGAATCAAGGTGAGTAATATCAGGGTCCTCTTCCAATGACAGAGACCAGACAGTGAACATTGGTAAAGTGAGACCTTAAGTAGTTGGAGTGATGATTGTGATGATGAGGTGCAGGTGTGTGTGATCAGGAATGACGTGCAAGTGGGAACAGAGGAAAGTGATTGGAAATGTAGTGCAGGATCCAGTAAGACTATGTTATTGTAAAACATTTAAGTTAGTTTAATATTCATTTTTTTTGTAACCCTCTTTATTGTCTATTATTGTTCATTACTGTATTGTCTTGTTTTGTATTGTTGCATAATAAAAAGGATGTGAGCATCGCGCAAAAGCAAATAGAACCCATTATAATCACTGAGGCTCTCAACACTGGATACAGTATACACAGATGCACGTTCAATTTCTGATTTTTTTTAAAAAACATTTACTGTAAATGATAAATCTTCAGTATCGTGATGATAAATGATTTGTATGTTGTGAGGTATTGCTATGTCACTGTTATCTAGAAGCAGCTTGCTGATAAGAATGCAGTATAGGCGCAGTATACAGTTAGTTTTATATATTTACGAGGCCAAGTTTCACAGAGAGCGTCTGGTATCTTTTCAGTCTAAATTACTTGAGACCTACTAGTGCAGACAGTAGACTGTGGATGAAGACAGACGTATCTTTCAGTGTACCAACTCAAAGAAAGACAGTAGTTTTATAGTTTGTCTGTAAACCTAAATCTAAATAGTTTAACCAAATTTGCATTTGTGCAAAGATCATTGGCTAAACTCTGGAAGAGTCTTTTCAGATAGATCAACACAAGTATGATCAGACTGGCCCGTAGTGCTTCTTCTGATCCCTCACGTCTTAAAGAGATCAACTAATCGACTTCTAACATCCAATCTTTATTTTTATTTATTTTTTTAGTATGTTGTGTGTATGAAAAGAATGATTTGTGCTGTAAATGTTATCAACTGAATATATATATATATATATATATATATATATATATATATATATATATATATATATATATATATATATATATATAATGTAACCTATATTACTACACTAGACTTTTTTTGTACTACCCATCTACTTTTACTTTTGACCTTTACTTTTTACTTTTACTTTTACCTTTAAATAAAAATTAAATAAGTTGAAATGATTGCATTAAAAACATCACATAATAATTTATATTTTATTAAAACATAATTTTCATATACACATCAAAAATAGTCAGATATACAATATAAAATGCAAAGTTCAAGTAGAAACAGTGTAGCTTGTTTTAGACGGTTGGGCTCTGAGTCTTTGCTGTAGTAGCAGTTGATGCTAGAGAAGATGTTTTTGCAGCAGCAGTTGTTGGTGTTGTTGGTGTTGTTATTGGGTGTTGTTGTACTTTATCAACATGGCCGTTCACCCAGGTGGTCTCTGGATCTACACAGATCTCTTTACCTTTAAATGTCTGAAACCTGAGGGAGAAAAGGACAAAACAAGATTTAGATCAAAGTTTTTTAATGGAGTGTGTCATTCAGATTGACTTTGCAGTTTGAAAATGAAATAATGTCTAAGATGACACCCACACAATGGCTGGTCTGGCACAGGAGCTGCTGATCCAGTAGTAAGACTTCACCTGTCTCACAGGAATCTTCACATTACTGAACTCCATACAGCACTTTGCCACATTTAATGCTAGGGGAGCTGAAATATGAAGACAAATAGGGCTATCACAAATATGCACAAAAAAAAAAAAAGTTTTCAATTACACTTGTTACTGACTTATTACAAAGTTGCTATATTTTTAAATCACCTAATGCAACAAATCAAACTAACCTGACATAAATCATCTGAAACAATTAATTTTATCTTAATTGACATTCAAAGAGTCCTCACCGCTTGAAGTCATCGGCACACAGCAGAAGAGAACCAGGACCAGCAGAAACACCAGGCTTCTCATTCTTCAAGATGTTTGTTCACAACGACAGAAAGAGTCTTGTAGAGCTGGAAGATCTCAGAGCAGATGTGTCCAGAATAACGCCTGAGCTCCTTCTTATATACATGGCAGGAGAGGAATTCTTCATAAAGACATTCATGTAAATCCATTTCTGAGTAACAATATTGTCAGATGCGAGTTGATTTTAGCTCTTCCTTTCCTTCATCCTTTTTCTGCTTTGTCTTTCATGTAAGAATTTGGAAGGTACTTTTCTTTCAGATTCACTGAAAACATGTTTCAGGAAAACAACACGGCTTCCTCTTTTCAATTCTGCTGTGATCAGCATTAAATGGGCCATGACATGAGAAATTCAATTTGCCTTGATCTTTTCACATTTAAGAGGTCTTTGTACCATACAAAAAAATCCTGCAAGTTTCAGAGCTTAGAACGTCCTCCTCAGTATAAAAAAAGCTTTTATTTAATCAAGCTCCATGTGGGATCTGTGACATCACACAGCGTCTCTGTACAGACTTCAGAAGGATCCCAGTGTCGGAAACAAGTGGATGGTTCTGGATGAAGTATTATATGTTTGTTTGGAGCATTTTGTTTTGTAAACGAGGCACAGAAAGTTCGCAAGAACATTTTGTTGAGATGTGAAGCAGCAACTGTACTGGATCTGACAGCAACTACATCAAATTATTTTACAATGCTTTGTAAATGACGGTCTTTCTGCATATATTTGTTTTGTGCAAAAAACTTTATTGACATTATAAGTGAACCTAATGTAATATATATATAAAAAAATCCATGTCATTACCCCTTTACGCATACTAAATCTGAAGAGTTTATGATCAAATCTGAATTTTGCTATCACCAAGTATTAGATGTTAAACCTTGACCACCGTACTTACAAAGTAACCCCAAATACCCTGAATATCTGGATCAGGTGTTTGATTAAAGCTACGAAATGGTTAAACTTCATAGTCTAATAGAGAAGCAACAGTTAAACTGCTTCACAGAACTGAAATATGCAAATGTAATAACAAGAAAAGGGTAGTTTTTCTTTTATTCACATTTAGAAAAGTAGGTGTAGTTTACCTCTGAGTTAAACATTCACTTTAAAGGGGTCATATAATGCCATTTTTGTACAAGCTAATATGATTCTTTAGGGTCTAAATTAAAAGTTTGTAATATACTTTAATTAAAAATTCTCATTAGTATTGTAAGAAAACACTTATTTTACCTGGTCAAAAACAGCTCTGTTTTCAGCACGCCGTTTCAGTGCATATGACTTTAAATGATCATGAGCTGCGCTCACTCCGCCCCTCTGTTCTGTGCATACACCGTTTGTAAAACAATAACCATAACGCGCGTTGTTCAGTATAAACGTGGAATTATGAATTATATTGAGAACGTCATACATAGAAAACATGCCGTAATGTCCTGAGTGTAAACCTTAGACGCATTCATTGTGAAGCGTGCAGCTAGCGATTTGCAAAGATTAATATATTAATATAAAGTTTAATAAAACGTTTCACTCACTTCCGTTCTTCTGGAGGTTCAGCAGGAACACGAATATCTGGGACCGATCCTTTTTAGCAAAGCTTCTTAGCAAATCCAGCTTTACTGACCCTCGTTTATAAAGCAGTCTGGTGTGTGAAATGATATGAAGCATTGACGTTGCTCGTGTGGAATATTCCCTTCGAAAACAAAACTCAGCCACTGCTCTTCAGCGGTTCGGATTCAGGAACATTAAAATGACTGTGTTCGTTATTACACCCAAGAACAGAACACCACAATCGCTTAGACGCCATTCTGCTCATAGACAGTGCTCCGGCACATCAACAATGACCGCGCCGGTCCGGTCCGCGCCGCGCAGACTTGATTGACAGCTACCTCATGTGCGAGGGCGGGTCTGTGTTGAAACGCTCCCGTCAATCAACAATCGTGGGAGGGGCGTCCGTTTTATTGACGTCACAAAAACGAACGGCTCGATTTGAGGCAGGGGAAAACATATAAGGAGATTAAAACAAAACCACTGGATGGATTTTTATCATTATATGATGTTTGTGTACAGGCACTGCCAACACACATTTCAGTACAATCAACTTGTAAAAGTGCATGTACCATTATATGACCCCTTTAAAATGTTATTTTTATTCAGACTAAAACATTCATTAATCCTTTTCCAACTAAAAAAAGAAAGGAGGAGGGTCTCTGGAAATGTCTGAAGATCCACCCAGAGATCTACAGGATCAAACGTCTATTTGATGTGCATGTTTACATCTGAAAGACGTATTTGCTTATCTGAATATACATCTCAAGGATGATTCCTGTCAGATGATAAATAGACATTTAGAAAATGTCTTTAAGATGTTTATGATTTAGAATGTAAAACTGACATCGTAAAGACGTTTCTCAGATGTTTGTACACAGCAGAGGTTTTCCAGATGAAGCGCTCTGTAACAGACATCTTGCAGAAGAATGTGTGCTAGAAGATTCCTGTACAATTTCTTTCTTTCCTGATTTTTGTTTTAGGATGCAATTATAGCAAACAGTTCATAACAAATTGTAATCTTACACATACAGATTTTGGTTTCAGCAACAGTTGACAATGTTTTTAATGTGGTTTTATTATTATTTATAATATTTTAAGAAATCGTTCTCACTGAAAGCCTATCAGACTAAAAACTTCCACCACAAATTGGAAGTAAAAGACTGCAGGACAGTACCTGGAAGGACACAGTATAGGCTATCTAATGTAGATATTTCATTTAGTTAATTCTGTTAATATCAAGTATATTGTATTTTAGTACTTACAAGGGAAATGTGTGGTTTGAACATTTGTTTTTTGTGAATAATTTTTGTGAACAATTGTCAGTTGACAATTCATGTTATCCTGAATAAGAAACTTAATACATATACTTTGTTTCTTGACATCTATATAGATCATCCACCAGATATACAATTTAAATAAAAACTTTAATTTAAAAATGTGTGCAATAATGGATAAACAATACTGCATGACGCTAGAAATTATCATTTATATTTTATTAAAACAATGATCCAATCACATAAATTATTCTGTAAATAAAATAGTTTTATATACACATCAGCAAAAATACAATATGAAATGCTCAGTTCACAGAAACAGTGTAACTTGTTTTAGACTGTTGTTCTCTTGTCCACTTTATCAACATGGCCGTTCACCCAGGTGGTCTCTGGATCTACACAGATCTCTTTACCTTTAAATGTCTGAAACCTGAGGGAGAAAAGGACAAAACACGATTTAGATCAGAGTATTTCTTTAATGGAGTGTGTCATTCAGATTGACTTTGCAGTTTGAAAATGAAATAATGTCTAAGATGACACTCACACAATGGCTGGTCTGGCACAGGAGCTGCTGGTCCAGTAGTAAGACTTCACCAGTCTCACAGGAATCTTCACATTACTGAACTCCATACAGCACTTTGCCACATTAGCTGCGAGGGGAGCTGAAATATGGAAACAAATGGGCTATCACAAATCTATGCATTCCCATGCAAAAAAATAAGACAAAGGGTTTCAATTAGATAAATCGATATTTTTAAATCACTTAAAGGGATACTCCACTTTTTTTGGAAATAGGCTCAATTTACAACTCCCCCAGAGTTAAACTGTTGAGTTTTACCGTTTTTGAATCCATTCAGCCGATCTCCGGTTCTGACGGTACCACTTTTAGCATAGCTTAGCATACATCATTGAAGTGGACAAGACCATTAGCATTTCTCATTAAAAAATGACCAAAGTGTTTCGATATTTTTCCTATTTCAAACTTGACTCTTCTGTAGTTACATCGTGCACTAAGACCGACGGAAAATGTAAAGTTGCGATTTTCTAGGCTGATATGGCTAGGAACTATACTCTCATTCCTGCGTAATAATCAAGAAACTTCACTGCCGTACCATGAGAGCAGCAGGCGTAATGATATGACGCAGCGCCTGAAAATAGTTCCGTTGTGTTGACGGAAGGTGGCCTATTTTCAGGCGCTGCGTCATATCATTGCGCCTGCTGCTCTCATGGTACGGCAGTGAAGTTTCTTGATTATTACGCAGGAATGAGAGTATAGTTCCTAGCCATATCAGCCTAGAAAATCGCAACTTTACATTTTCCGTCGGTCTTAGTGCACGATGTAACTACAGAAGAGTCAAGTTTGAAATAGGAAAAATATCGAAACACTTTGGTCATTTTTTAATGAGAAATGCTAATGGTCTTGTCCACTTCAATGACGTATGCTAAGCTATGCTAAAAGTGGTACCGCCAGAACCGGAGATCGGCTGAATGGATTCAAAAACGGTAAAACTCAACAGTTTAACTCTGGGGGAGTTGTAAAATAAGCCTATTTCCAAAAAAAGTGGAGTATCCCTTTAATGCGACGAATGAAACTAAACCAGACAAAAATAATCTGAAAACAATTAATTTGATCTTAATTGACATTCAAAGAGTCCTCACCGCTTGAAGTCATCGGCACAGAGCAGAAGAGAACCAGGACCAGCAGAAACACCAGGCTTCTCATTCTTCAAGATGTTTGTTCACAACGACAGAAAGAGTCTTGTAGAGCTGGAAGATCTCAGAGCAGATGTGTCCAGAATAACACCTGAGCTCCTTCTTATATACATAGCAGGAGAGGAATTCTTCATAAAGACATTCATGTAAATCCATTTCTGAGTAACAATATTGTCAGATGCGAGTTGTTTTTAGTTCTTCCTTTCCTTCATCCTTTTTCTGCTTTGTCGCTCATGTAAGAATTTGGAAGGTATTTTTCTTTCAGATTCACTGAAAACGTGTTTCAGGAAAGCAACACACGACTTCCTCTTTTCAGGCCTTGTGCAGCATTAAATGTAGGCTACTAAATTAAAGATTGTATGATCAAATCTGAATCTGAATGAAGGTGTTTGATTAAAGCTAAATCCACTATTGTTAAACTCACAGTTAGCACTAAACTATTGTTTAGTGACATTTCATAGTCTAATAGAGAAGCAACAGTTGAACTGCTTCACAGAACTGAAATAAGAAATGACATGAAAAGAGGAAGCTTTTCTTGTATTGACAGTATAAGAAAAAAAGGTGTGATTTTCTTCTAAAACAATAATTCACATTTTCTTACTAAAAGAAGACATTTCTGAAGATCCATCCAAGAGATCCACATGATGCTTTTAAGAATTCATAAGACAACTGGTGTTCCACAGAAACTCCGGTAACACCTTATGATAATACAGTAATAAAGTACAAATCATTAACAAACTATTAGTTTATAGTTAATTCATAGTTAATATATTCTCTACATTGTTAATGTATTAAAAGGCAATATACAAATAGTGAGTTCTTTATTCATTGTCACTCAAATTAACACAGTTTTCATTGTTTAATTAGCTCGTAATAAAGGAATTGTTAATTGATTATTAGGACTAAATAGTTCTCACTTTAGATTAGGTCACGGAAAATGTCATTAAGTGCTTTAAACCAAGCTTCATTAGATATTATTATTATTATTTCAAGGAACACTTACTGTAATACACTTAACACTAAATGCAATTAATCTAATAAAGGTTTGTTTAAAGCACTTAATTATTGGCACATTCCCACGTTCTTTCAGTGACCTAAACTGGGAACTATTTACAGTTAATAAGTTGACAAAGCATAACATTATCTAACTCTTTACAGATGAGCTAATTAAACAATAATAATTGTGTTTATTACAGTGACAATGAATGAATAACTGAATATTTGTATATGGCCTATTAATATATATTAACAGTGTAGAGACTACAGTATATTAACTATGAATTAACTATAAACATGTAGTAACCTTATATTACCCTTTCTTAGGTAAGTATACTGTAAGTGCACACACTGATAAATAAAGTTCAACCATTTTAGTATGGTTTTATTCTCTATAATATTTTGAGAAAACTTTACATAATAATGTTCTATAATCTTTCTCACTGAAAGCCTATCAGACTAAAAACTTCCACCACAAATTGGAAGTAAAAGACTGCAGAACAGTACCAGGAAGGACACAGTATATCTACTGAAGATAATTCATTTTGTTAATTCTATTAATATCAAGTATATCGTATTTTATTTACGAGAAGGGAAAAGTGTTGTTTAAACAGATTTGTTAGTCAGTTTTAGACAATTAATGTTAGCCTGACTGAGATACTTAAAGGGACAATGTGTACTTTTTTAGGTATTTTATTATCTAAAATCAATATTTTTATTCATAAATATGTCCTCAATGGTGTACAAATACCTCTGCAAATTATCTGATTTATCCTCGTAAACGAAGAATTTATTATCTTATTTGAAAAAGTGAGGCGCTGGAGAGCACAATTCGTTTGAATGCAAAATACAATTTCACCACTAGATGGGAGAAAATCCTACACAATGTCCATTTAATACAAATAATTTGTTTCTTTACATCCACCAGATATATAGACTTAAATTTAAATAAACAGTTTATTTTCAAAATGTGTGCAATAGAGGATAAAACAATTCAGCATGGGGATTAAAACTGTCATTTATATTTTATTAAAACAACTGAATCCAATCACATAAATTATTCTGTAAATAAAATAGTTTTATATACACATCAGCAGTAGACAATATGAAATGCACAGTTCACATAGAAAGAGAGTAGTTTGTTTTAGACTGTTATTCTCTTGTCCAGTTTATCAACATGGCCGTTCACCCAGGTGGTCTCTGGATCTACACAGATCTCTTTACCTTTAAATGTCTGAAACCTGAGGGGGAAAGGACAAAACACGATTTAGATCAGAGTGTTTCTTTAATGGAGTGTGTCATTCAGATTGACTTTGCAGTTTGAAAATGAAATAATGTCTAAGATGACACTCACACAATGGCTGGTCTGGCACAGGAGCTGCTGGTCCAGAAGTAAGACTTCACCAGTCTCACAGGAATCTTCACATTACTGAACTCCATACAGCAGTTTGCCACATTAGCTGCGAGGGGAGCTGAAATATGGAGACAAATAGAACTATCACAAATCTACACATGACCAGGCAAAAAATAAGACAAAAGTTTTCAATTAGTTGATATCAATATTTTTAAATCACCTAATGCAACAAATGAAACTAAACCTTCCATAAAAAATCTGAAAACAATTCATTTTTTCTTAATTAACAATCAAAGAGTCCTCACCGCTTGAAGTCATCGGCACAGAGCAGAAGAGAACCAGGACCAGCAGAAACACCAGGCTTCTCATTCTTCAAGATGTTTGTTCACAATGATGCAATGAATGAAAGAGAAGTTCTGTTGAGCTTGATGTCAGAGCTGATATTGCAGATCCTGTTCAGAAGGCCGAGCAAACAGAGGAGAATTTACCTTGAAAGAAGTGGGGAAAATGAAGAAGCAGGACACATCTGCACTGTCGCAACTCCTCAGATGGTGTTTATTTACAACATTCAGTTGGTTTCTGTTACTTCTCTAAAGCACAAATAAAACATTTAACAATCTTAATTTATCTCAGTGTCCCTTTTCCATAACAGTTCAATTTAGAATCATTAATAGGCTATAAATAAAATAATCACATTTTATCGATGATATACCTCTGTTATGAATAATTCACAAATTTGCCCTATAAGAGTGGATTTACAAAATATTTTTTTGTAAATCTTTGCCATGTCTTTGCAACAAAAAAATGGTCGCAACAAAAAAAGTGTCACACTTATATTGTTCACGATAAAAAATGACCACCATTGAAAATGAAAGGGAAACAATATGAAAAATATGAAAATACAAAACAATGCAGCTTGTTTTTAATCGTTTAATCGTTAAAATAATTAAATATGTTGGATAATTTCCATGCCTTCGTCATAGGACTAGCGGGCACAGGAATAAAAATAAAAATAAAATAATGATGGACAAGGATAAATTATTTATAATAAATACTCCGATATAAATACTATGCAATAAAAACAAACAAATGCTGTAAACGGGAGGAGATTGACAGGCTTAACCCCACCCCCTAATCCTGACCACTCCCACAATACTAAACACACTGGCGGGGTCCAGAACACGATTCTGCACAACAACCTGATTGAAAACACATAGCTACTACTGACTGACTGATTGAGTAACGAACGCACTTTGAACCATAGACAGTAAAAGAAATGGACAGAGCGATCTCATTGGAACTCAGTTGAGACAGTTGAAGCCCACTTTTAGCGATTTTTGAGCACTTCCGTTCCTGACGCGCAGACTCAGACCGACTCAAACTAAGCTTGATGACGTGAGCAACCTGTCTGACAGACGTTAATCTTCTAGTAGCTGTGCGTGAAAACTGCCAACGTTAATCTTGCAGAGACGGGGAACTTGAGCAAAGAGTTCTTTGGCGTGAGTGAGCAGGAGTAAGTATTCCGTTGCTTTTATGGACTCATTATCTATGGGCTTCTCCCTTGACGGGACGTCCCCCCGATTGCCTGCGAGCTTCTCCTCCTGTCTGTACGGTAACTTCTGTACAGCGCGACAGAGAGTCGAGTGGTTATGACGCAATCGTTAGCCTATTTTTACTAAATCTGTTTCTACGGGGCCATAGTGTAACATAGAAGGTAATGGAGCCCTTTATACATTGTCGTGTTTCTTTAGAAATAAATAATGGACAAATGGAGTCTTTAAACGCCTCAGATGTAAAGTTATTCGCTGTCAAAGTGACGCAAAAATGAATGGGAGTCAATGGAAATGCTAACGCAAGTGAAGTTCTGCTACAACATGGCGGCACCCGGCCGGCTTCAACTTCCGGTCGATGGATTACCCCCTTGCTTTGAACACTTAAGTTCACTAAATCACGGTCACAGTTTCTGTTTTAATAATCATTCAACCCTTACATAATTTTAGCATGAACAAATACAGGCTACATTAGGCTATGTCACCAGAATTCGCTATAATAGGCTACTATTCAATGTCGCTGAAGCAAGAATCACTTTTTTTATGTCATTTTAGAAAACTCGAGGCCTACCTCAAAAAAATTAACAGATATGGATCCTACAATTTCACCAACGCCACGGTTTATATTCACAATCGATTGCGATAGCCTAGTCAAAGTATTCAATTTAAAACGTGTTTTTATTCTAAAATACCCATATTTCACCTTTAAGAGGAGGAAAAATGAAGAAGCAGGAATCGTGTCCGCTCCGTCACCGCTGGTCTGATGGTATGAGGAAGCAAGCACCGATCTCCCAGCTTTTATCCGATATGAACATGCCAAAATAAACTACCCTTTGTCCACACAAAAGTCGCTACACAGTCAGCATTTCACAACATCACACTGTAGGCTATTGAGTTGTGAAAATATTGAGAAAATAATCCCGTTACTTCTGTTCAATTTACACAATTGTGTAGCCTACATATTATGTGTGCATATCACTGATGTGTTAGGCTATGTGTTATTATAAAAACGTCTGACTCTGAGCACATTATTATATACGAAAAGGCCTAGGCTACGATTGCCTGTAGCCTAGTATAGCCTACTTTTCTCCGAAATACATTCTTGTAAATCCCTTTGCTATTCGTTAACTTTGTAGAATTATTTATATTTATATTAATTATTTATATTTATATTTATAGGCTATATAATTTTTTTAGTCTTCACTGTTCCTCTAGCAGTCTACCACATCCCTTTTCTGCTTTGTCGCTCATGTGAGAAGGCGAAAATTACTTTTCTTTTAGATTAATAAAAAATGCGCTTCAGGAAATCAACACAGCTTCTTCATTTGCAGTCCTGTCATGCTGCCACCGGTCTCAAAGACCAGGCTTAAAGCTAAAATGCATGTTTGAGCCGTTTTAACTCAAAGCAACTTACACTGATAGATCTTAAAATATATCAGTGCCTTTGTTTTATCTCAAGATGCACACCACTCATGTTTTTTTCTAAGGCACATTTATAAAAGACACTTAAATTCACTAATTGAAGTAAAAGGCATGATCCTGGCTTAATTTGCATTACATTTATTCATTTTGCAGATGCGTTTATCCAAAGCGACTTAATCTAAGTCCTGTCTGTGTGAAACCGGGTCTACATGTAATAAATCAGAAGATCTTCATGATCATATCTGAATTCTTACCAAAACTCATGCTCTAAAGAACACAACCACTTGTTCTTTTTTATAGTTGCTTTTCTTACTCTAATAGAGAAGTTAGAATTATTCAGCCAGTTAAATGGCTGAAATAAAATCTACAAATGTAAAGTCAGGAAAAGTGCAGCTTTTCTTTCACTTGTTAGCTTTCACAAGATACAATTTTATTTTATGTCAAACTAAAATAATAAGTGTCTGGAGTCTGGACCTTTCTGAAGATCAACCCAGAGGGTCCTTCAGGGTCCACAAGACCTGTGTGTTCCTCTGTACATTCATTACAAATTGGAATTTTGTAACCTTACAATGACCGAACAGAAGCATTGCACACAAATGTTTGGTATGGCATTATCTAAATACTTTGCAGGCCTATATTTTTACATGTAGCCTACCATCTTCCCGAATGAAAGCCCATCAGACTGAAACCTTTCATCAGTAGGTGGCAGTAGAGGACTGCAGAACACTACCAGGTGCCGTAGGCTACTGTATACTGTCTTATATTTGCCTTCAGTGGTTTTAGTCATATTTAGATAATTCCCACACATCTCAATGAGATATTTAAAAATCAAAATCATGATTGTAACAACGCCAACAAATTTAAATAAATAAAAAATCCACCACCAGATGTCAGCCGAGAACTCCTCTTATTTAGGATCTGCCAGTGTGAAAGACACTCTTTTCTTTCACCCATTGTAGGCTACTTCCCAAAACCATGCGTATCTCTCCAGACGCATTTATCTTACTTCAATTTTTTAAAGAGGCCATAAATTAAAATTAAATGTACAAGTACAGTAGCCTTTATGACTCTGTACTTCTGAATTGATTTTTTTTACTCTGAACTACATTTTTAGTTCATAAATTAAAATGAAATGTACAAGTACATAGCCTTTATGACTCTGTACCTCTGTATTGATTTTTTAATGACTCTGCATTGCAATGTAAACGATATAGGTATGCATGTAAAGTATGTACATACATTACACATAGGCTACTACTATATTAGTGACCAGACGTGAAATCTCAAGGGTCCATGGCCAGAAAAAGTTTGAAAACGCTTAAGGCCAAATGATGTTGTTGAGAGGGGAATACACAGTATGATTATGACTAAGCCATCAAAATCAGCAGTCAGTGACCTCTGTTGTTTCTCAGAGGTTTAATCGTTTTAGTCTTAAAGGGGTCATATAATGGTACATGCACTTTTACAAGTTGATTGTACTGAAATGTGTGTTGGCAGTGCCTGTACACAACCATCATATAATGATAAAAATCCATCCAGTGTTTTTGTTTTAATCTCCTTATATGTTTTCCCCTGCCTCAAATTGAGCCGTTCGTTTTTGTGACGTCAATAAAACGGACGCCCCTCCCACGATTGTTGATTGACAGGAGTCAGCACAGGAGTTTCAACACAGACCCGCCCTCGCTCGTCCTGTCAATCATAGTCTGCGCGGATCGGCGCGGTCATTGTTGATATGCTGGAGCACTGTCTATGAGCAGAATGGCGTCTAAGCGATTGTGGTGTTCTGTTCTTGGGTGCAATAACGAACACAGCAGTCATTTTAATGTTCCTAAATCCGAACCGCTGAAGACGCAGTGGCTGAGTTTGTTTTCGAAGGGAATATTCCCCACGATCAACGTCAATGCTCTCATGTTTGCCGAATCATTTCTCAGTGGACTGCTTTATAAACGAGGATCAGTGTAAAGCTGGTTTTGCTGAGAAGCTGCACCTGAATAAAGGATCGGAACCTATTCGTCTTCCTGCTGAACCTTCAGAAGAACTAAAGTGAGTGCCCAGCTAACAAAATAAAGTCCCCAGAACGTCCCCTGAACGTCCACTGCGAACGTCCCCTGAACGTCTTCGTGTAGGGTTCTTTAAACGTTCGCAGGACGTCGTGGGGGACGTTCGCGGGACGTCCCGAGGGACCTTCGCGGGACGTTTAGAAAACTTTCGGGGACCTTTTCGGAACGTTCACTAGAAGTCCTTTTAACATCTTAAGACCCTTTTATAGTGTAGCATTAGTCTGATAACACAAAATCGAACAACCAAGGAACAAACACAAGGAATATCAGGAAACAAAAATACTTTTATTTTCATAAACAAAAAAAGTGCGTGTGTGTGTGTCTAGTTGCCAAGTTTCCAGCTGAAACGAAGTTCACATGTGTCTTCAAATGCGCTGGCAGCTGTGTGTGTGTGTGTGTGTGTGTGTGTGTGTTTGTCGGTCAGCTGTGGGATTAATCCGATGGCAATTCTCCACCTTTGGCCCTAAAACAACAAAATAAACATATTCAGTTATGATTTTATCCAAGTGGAATATAACGTTGTCTCATTTCAGCTACATTTAACGTTAGCTTCGTAGGCATAACGGTTATCAGCGGTACATTGCGGACAACTTCAGCAAACGTTTTAAAAGGTAACATTTTCATATAATTTAAAGACGGACAGTGGTTATGGTAACAAATTTATAATAACCTAAATTTAACGTTTTATTATACAACGTTAACAAATTTATAATAACCTAAATTTAGCTA